ATAAGGCCCTGGGAATATGCGACTGACCAAATTGACAAAAAGCTTTGCTCTTGGAGGGTATATTATAGCAGAGGCAACTAAAAATGAATAATTAGGCATATATTATGTTAGATAGTATAGATGCTAAGGAGAAAATGTAAAGCAGAGCTGGTAGACAGGAAATAGCAAGGGTAGAGAAGAGGTGTTGAAATTTCAGATATGATAATTAGGGTAGTCAAATGCCTCATTGAGAAAGGGGCAGTTGAGGAGTGAGCTGAATGAAGTAAAGAAGTAAACTGTGCAAATGTATAGATGAAAGGTCTTCAAAGCCTTTGATTTTTACCTAAGATTAATAACGAAGGTCCTAAAGGAGGTATATGCTTATAGTATTTCAGGAAGGATGAAGAGGCTGGTAGGGTAGACGGTGAAGTCCAAGAGAATGGGGTAAGGGAGGCTTGGCGGAGCAGTTTGATTTATGAATCAGGCATTCAGGCTGGAAATACAGTTCAAGTATCATTATCATATACATGGATTTAGAGTTATATGAGTACATGAATCTACCAAGAGAGTGAGAATAGAGAAAAATGTCTATGGACTGAACTGTGGGATACTCTGACATTTAAAGTTTATGGATTTGGAAAGTAATCAGCAAAGAAAACTGAGGAGTCTTCCATTTAGGATTAAGTCCTTTGTTGACATCTGAAATCCTTTATGTGCTGGACCAGGTTTACCATCTCTCTCACCATTTACTTCCCTGCAGCTTACAGTGTTGATTATTTATTTATTTATTTTTACTTGTCTTTTTAGATACATGTGACAGTAGAATATATTTTGACATTTTATACATATATGAAGTATATCTTATTCTAATTAGGATTCTAGTCTTGTGGATATACACAATGTTGAGATTCACTGTAGTGTACTCACACATGTACATAGGAATTCATTCCCTTCTCTTACCTATTCCTATCTCCCCTCCCTTCCCTTCATTCCCTTTTGTCTAATTCAATAAACTACTATTCTCCCTGCCCCCTTGTTTTGCGTTAGCATACACATATCAGAGAGATCTTTAGTTTTGGGGGATTGGCTTATTTCATTTAGCATGATAATTTCCAGATCCTTTCATTTACTGGCAAGTGTCATAGTCATTCTTCTTTATGGCTGAGTAATATCCCACTGAGAATATGTACCACATTTTCTTTATCCATTCATCTGTTGAAGGGCACCTAGATTGATTCCATCGCTTAGCTATTGTGAATTGAGCTGCTACAAACATTGATGTGGCTATATCACTGTAGCATGCTGTTTTTAAAGCCTTCAAACATATGCAGAGGAGTGGTATAACGGGTTCAAATTGTGGTTCTATTCCTAGTTTTTTGAGGAATCTCCATACCACTTTCCCAGAATTGTTGTACTAATTTGCAGACCCACCAGCAATGTATGAGTGAACCCCTTTCCCTCACATCTTTGCCAACATTTATGGTTACCTATATTCTTGATAATTGCCATTCTGACTGGAGTAAGAAAAAAATTTCAATGTAGTTTTAATTTGCATTTCTCTAATTGCTAGAGAAGTTGAACATTTTTTCATGTTTGTTGACCATAGAACGGGGTTGTTGACAGAGAATGTTAATAGATATCAGAGGGAGTGAGAAACATCAACAAGCCAGAGATTACCAATATTTTTCTAGTAACAATAAGGAATGCCTAGGTATAATAACTTTCTTAACTTCTTTTCTGTCAACTTTGTGAAAAGCTGCCCAGCAGATATTAAATACCAAGCAGGTAGAAGCAAGTACAGTTGGTTCATTATTTTGAATGTTTATTTGCATGAGATTTTTTGGAACACCTGATTCCCTTTTTGTTTTTTAACAAATTACCCCAACCTGTCAGGGATGTGAATAAATGGACAGTTTTAAGTCAAGGTTGTCATGTTGGATATTAACCTTCTTAAGAATCATGGAATTGTTATTAAACTTCAGAGAAGCATAACTGGTTGGAAGAAGGGTGGAGACAGATTTAAAAGCCAAAAATTTTTAAGGAATTTAAGGAGTGGAACTTAGGAAAGGTGTTAGTAGAAATAAGGTTTCTCTGTTTATAAATGTTATTTTAAATGAACACATGGAATTTGAGTCACATTTTGAAATATTTTATAAATTTTGCTTAATATTAAAGGCATTTTTTTCCTGTGGCATGACCATAAATATTTACAAGGTGAGACAGATATAACTTCTTTATTTTCAGTGTGGCAGAGCAGAGCTACATAAAATGGGAAATAACATTGATAGGAATCTATCATGTGAAACTGTATTCAAAAGAAAAAAGCTCCAGTTTCAAAAGTCTTATTCTGAATATTTCCCTCTATGTAGTATTGTTCAATTTTTAGAATGTTTTATTATCCAACTAAAATTCACTTCAAAAATATATTTTTACTCTCTCAAATGAAGCTTTGAGCATATGTTTTTAATAATTCAGTTAAATTATGCTGAGTTGTATATTTTTAAAGAGAATTTGTATTCTCAAATATTTGTTTGAACAGGCACTCAGCATCTTGATGAAAACGGTTGGAAAAGAAAAATTTTCAGTCATTCTGCTCCCATAGTACCCATGCCAACTGAACTGGTACAGTTAACACTTCTGTAAGAGGCCAGGAGCCAAGAAGTTTAGCACTTCCTAAACTGCTTTTCAGCAGGCCTTCAAACCCACATAGTGGTTGATGTTAATATCATTACATTTTCAGAGTAAAAAGCTATAAGTAGAACATATGCATCTCTTTCTATCAATATTGTACTTATTAATGTTTTAGAAATCCATGGTTAGTTTCAGTCTCTGAATATTAGCATTCTTGGGGCACTGTTCTTGCAAATACGAAGAGAATGTCTCTTCCCACAGATTGTCACACCAGGTATGATAAAATCCTTTTCCAGATAGCATTTTTTTTGGGGGGAGGGGTACCAGAGATTGAACTCAGGGGCACTCAACCACTAAGCCATATCCCCAGCCCTATTTTGTATTTTATTTAGAGACAGGGTCTCACTGAATTCCAGAGCACCTCACCATTGCTGAGGCTGGCTTTGAACTTGTGATTTTCCTCTCTCAGCCTCTTAAGCCGCTGGGATTACAGACGTGTACCACTGTGCTTGGCCAGATAGCAATATTTAACACTGCTTTTTAGTACTACTGAATGTCATAGTAGAGAGATAAATTCTATAGCACATCATAATGCTTAGGGAAGATTGGTAGTTATGTTAGGCTACTAAATGTGTAAGTAGGGATTGTTTATTCAGACTGTGAACCATTTCTGAACCATGTCTTTTCATTATGTTCCCTTAAAATTTATTGATTCCACTTAATGCACTCAGCAGTAATATACTTGGGGTGTGTGTGTGTGTGTGTGTGTGTGTGTGTGTGTGTGTGTGTACTCTACGTACATATTTGTTGAATTGACCTAGATAGTACCCATAATATTTAGATGCTGTGGTGGAGAGTAAATAATAAAAGATTTCAAGATTCTTTATGCTAATATCTCCAGAAATGATTATACATATTTTTTCTAATTTTTGTACCAGGAATTGGACTTAGGGGCACTTAACCATGGAGACACATCCCCAGCCCTATTTTGGATTTTATTTACAGACAGGGTCTCACTGAGTTGCCTAGCACCTCACCTTTGCTGAGATTGGCTTTGAACAATTACAGACATGCACCACTGCATCAATATATTTTAAGCTTTTTTAGAACCATATGTGTAGAGTTATATGAAACCAATGATAGATCTCCAGGCTTTTTTTCCTTCTTATTATTTTTATCTGTATATAATGTAATATAGTAAATTATTTACAGTTTGGGGTACAGTGTTATTTGTGACTTCTAGGGGTTTGACAATTAGCAGAGAAATGCAGTCCTTTTGTGCAACTTTGGTCTTTCCATTTGGGCAATATGTTACTGGAGGTTTAGAAAGTAATTGAGAGTCGGGTATGGTGGCACATTTTTGTAATCCCAGCTACTCTGGAGGCTGAGGCAGGAAGATCACAAGTTCCAGGCTAGCTGGGCAACTTGGCAAGACCCTTTCTCAAAATAAAAAGAGCTGAAGATATAGCTCAGTGATACAGTAGTACTGCAAAAAGAGGAGATAGAGGAGAGAGAGAGAGATGGCAGGGGAAGGAGAGGAGGGGAAGGGAGGGGGAGGAGAAGGAAGGAAGGAAGAGGGGAAAGGGAAGAAAGGAAAGAAAGAAAAAAGAAAGAAAAAGGGGAAAGGAAGAAATGGAGAGGATTTCGGAAAGAAACTAAAGGGGTTAATGACTGAAAACCAAAATCTGCAGTTGATTAGGACACAGTCATGAGAAGGAAATATATACATAAATAATAGGATAATAGAGTATATGACCAAAATTCAATAAGAGTAGAATGAGGCAAAATGTCTTTAGTGTCCTGATTTTCCATTTGATACTACTTTGGGTGTCTCACAAGGAAAATGGTTGAGATCATTAGTCCTTAATACATGAATTGAGAAATAGGAATTTTGTTTATTTTAAGAGGTAACCTTGTCTTATAAGGAAAGAGTAGGGACTCTTCAGTAGAGGGATATTTTTATCTGTAATTTCTCTGATTGAGTGCCAGAAGCTTTTTGAGAAATTAGTTAAAGTTGTTTGTTTGTAAGTTTCATCGTTGAAACTGACAACTGCTATAATTCTTTTTTTTCTTTGCTAAATTTCTTTTTGATAACATTTCAAAATTTCTCTTTAATAATAAGGTCTTCCTGTTATGCCTCATCTGTTGGAAAATCCCTTACGATTAAAAAGTATGTGTAAAGTAAAAGTATTATGAGACAAAGACTTAATTCTGTGGCTAGGATAATACTTCTTTTGTGACATTTTCTTTTCCCACCAAAAGTGAGAAGTGACTGCCTTGCCTTTGTGCATCCCATTTCTAATGGAGGACAAGAAGTTATTTTCTTCAATGGCTGACTTCCAGAATTTCTGCCTGAACATTTTTTGTCAAGTATATATTCCCTTCTTTAGGCCTTTCTATATAGAGCCCACAAACATCGTCAACGTGAATGATGTCATTCAGAGGGTTAGTGACCATGCCTCTGCTATGAACAAGAGGATTCATTACTACAGCCGGCTCACCACTCCTGCAGACAAGGCCCTGGTAAGAGGCAAAGCATTACTAATCGCCTGAAGTTAAACTGAAATGAACAGTGAACAACATAAACCAGGGCAACTCCCAGTTGTTGAACTTTTTGCTGGCTGTGTTCCAAGGACAGCATTATGTGAAGTCAAAGATAGTAATTAATACATGATCTACATCTCCGTCTAGTTTATTCTTATCCAACCTGGCATAGAGAGATTTGAAACTCTGTCTGTATTGACAACAGCCTGGGTTTTTGTTTGTTTGTTTGTTTGTTTGTTTTTTGGATTAAATTCTGCTTATCCTCATTCCCAAGACCTCTGAGGAAGATAAATTACTTCTGAAGTGGCAGCTTAGATCATTGATTTAAAACATAAAATTATAGTTAGTCTGTTCAATTTTTAACTTGGAAACTACAAAGGAAAAATATTTTTAGAAATTTTTTAGAGTAAGAAACTGAAATATGTTTATTCATATATGTAATATTTTCCTATTTAGCATTTTCCTATTTCCCTTTATCCTTTTTTGGATCAAAAACAGGAATCAAATGGCCAGATACTACAGAATTTTAGGCTTTGTAGACTACATACCATTACAGTTTCTTTGTTTTGTCTTATAGCCATTAAGAACAATAAGAAACATTCTTAGGAAAGGGGCTGTAAGTAATCAAGTGAAGGCTAGATTTGCCACAGTTTGTGGACCCTTGATCTTTTTTGTTTGTTTGTTTTATCATTGTGGAATGAAAAATATGTAAGTAATTTGGTTGCTTATCAAAATGGTCACATACAAGATATTCAGAATCTTGAAAACTGAAAAAAGTGGGAATCTTCTTGGAGAAAAATATGATTTTTAAAATAGATATTAGTAATAAGAGGGTAAAAGGAACCACCATATGGGATTTGACATCACTTGAATATTTCTATTTCATTTAATCTTTGCAATAGCTATGTGAAATAAGTATTAATTCTCCTTTTTTATGGCCAAAGTAAAGACTTCCAAATGTAATAGGTAGGATAATTTTTTTTTCAATTTTGGGGGCTTCCCCTAACCCCCTGTAGGACTTTACATCCATAGTAATGATAAAGTCTTAGTTCCATTATAGAATTATCTAAGCCCTTTGAAAAGTACAAGCAATCCTCTATCTAATGCTCTAATTCACACCTTCTGAGAGCTGTACTCTGGGAAACAAATTTCAGAGATATTAGCCAGGAGTCTAGGCCTGAGCATACATTATTTGCTTGGAAATTAAGACTGTATTGTGCACTAAGTTGAATCCCTTTTGTTAACTGACACTAAGATGACTCTAGCGAATCAAAGTATATAAACAGTAATCTACAGTTCTACAATTAACAAACAATATGATATAAACTTTTTCTAAATATTTTTAGTTGTAGTTGGACACAATACTTTTATCTTATTTATTTTTATGTGATGCTGAGGATTGAACCCAGGGCCTTGCACATGCAAGGCGAGTGCTCTACTGCTGAGCCACAACCCCAACCCCTGATATAAACATTTTTAATGAATGTATTTGAATATCCACATTCACCTTCAGAAGAATCCCAAAATTGGCAGGGCACACTAGCACATGCCTGTAATCCCAGCAGCTCAGGAGATTGAGGCAGGAGAATCTTGACTTCAAAGCCAGCTTCAGCAAAGGCGAGGAGTTAAGCAACTCAGTGAGACCCTGTCTCTAAATAAAATACAAAATAGGGCTGGGGATATGGCTCAGTGATTGAATGTCCTTGAGTTCAACCCCCAGTACCCCAAAACAAAACAACAACAACAACAACAAAAAAGAATCCCCAAATTACTTTTCCTAAATATATTTTTGGTTTTTTGTTTTTCTTTTTTCAGGGAATAACAATATAAAATCACTGGTCTCAGTTTTAGAGTTAAACCTTTTTATTTATGAAAAATTTCCCATTTACCTTGACATTTTTATTTTATAATAGGAAAGGGAAGAAAATCATTGTCTCCCAACATCTCCTAGATCCTGGCTAATAAAAGTATAGCCTGCACAGATTGGTATTATAGTGTTACCGAGGGCTTAAAAAAAATGGAGAATTTCAGACCTCACTTCAGACTACTGAAGCAAATCTACATATTAAGAAGATCCCTGTGTGATTTATAGTAATATTCAGTCTGACAAGCACCACCCTAGACCACTGCCAGAGTGGGATCTACTCTTCAATTTTTTTGTCTCTCCTGTGAATTTATACCCCGTGCCCTCCGGCATGCTTTATGTCTCTCCATTCACACAGTGCAGACCAGGCACAGGATCTGGAGGTTGTTTCTTTATATAGTCAGTGTAAGAACACAGCCAGAAATTGCCACTTCTTACTAATCCTGCCCCTTATAACTTTTTATTTTCACATTTTCTCAATTTGCTTTGCTAGCCATAGTGGTTTTTCTCCTGCCTCACATGGACACAGCCCATCCTTTTAAATTTTTCCTCATGGCAGAGGACAACAGAATTCAGACCCAAGAAGACTATGGGTAAAGAGAAGGCAAAAGACCCTTTCCATATGTCTTTGTATCTCTGGGAAATAGTTGTTTTCAAAGCTACACCATGCAGAACACTGAAGATATTCTTTGCCTTCAAGACACCACCACCCAAATGCACATAAAGAGAAGAATGTGCAGGGCTTGGTGGCACACACCTGTAATCTCAGCTACTCAGGAGGCCGAGGCAGGTGAATTACAAATTTTAGGCCAACCTAGGCAACTTAGCAAGACCCTGTCTCAAAATAAAATTCAAAAGGGCTGTGAATGTAGCTCAGTGGTAGAGTACTTGCCTAGCATGCACAAGGAACTGGGTTCAATCCCCAGAGCCACCACGAAAAGAAAAAGGATACCACTTTTTCATTTTTTGTACCAATCCACAATCCATATCCTCTATTCCTACTGAGTCCTGATACTCCATCTATTCCATGTATTCTTCTCCAACTATTCTAGTCCCCATTATTGTTGTTATTTGTTATTCCTATGGTACAGTATATCATAGAGTCAATTTTTATTATCTTCTAGCTTCCTGTCCTCCAACTGGAATTTAAAGTTTGAAGCCATATGTATATACAAATGTATATATTTTTTTTCTTAAATGCTAAACCTAGCACAGAGTTGTAAATTTTTATTTGTAAATAAAAATTGCTAAATATAAAAATTGTTGGTTTATGTATCAGGTTCTATGCCTTTTAGGACTGCTTTATTTTTTTTATTTTTATTTTATTTTATTTTTTTGTACCAGGGATGTTTAACCACTGAGCTACATCCCCAGCCCTTTTCTTGGTTTTTTTTTTGTTTGTTTGTTTGTTTGTTTTAATTCTTTGAGACAGGGTCTCACTAAGTTGCTGAGTCTGACTTTGAACTTGAGATTCTCCTGCCTCAGCTACTGAGTCACTGGGATTACAGGCATGCCCCACTGCACCCAGCTTAGACTGCCTATTCTTAAAGAACTATTCTTACGGAGATGGGCAGAATTGCATCAGGAAACAGTATTCTTTTCCCTCTAAAATAGGAAGGTAGAATTAGGAAGAAATGAAGAGGATAACTTGGGAGCTATGTGTATAAGAAACATCTCTGTTATATCTTCAACCTCTATTGGCTTCTTCCCTTTTGATTACATACTTAAAACTCTTCCTTTAAAATTTTTGTTTTGCACTGGGCATGGTGCTGCACACCTATAATCCCAGCAGCTCTGGAGGCTGAGGCAGGAGGATTGCAAGTTCAAAGCCAGCCTCAGCAATTTAGTGAGGCATTTAGCACCCCTGGGTTCAATCCTCAGTACCAAAAAAAAAAAAAAAAATCTTTGTTTTGCCTTTTCCTTAAGCCCCTTTAGGTTACCTTTTTCCTCTGTTATAAAGCATTTTCGTTTTTGTTTTTAATATTGTTTTTAGTTGTTCATGAACTTTTATTTTTATTTATTTGTTGGTTGGTTTGTTGGTTTCTTTATTTATATGCAGTGCTGAGAATTGAACTCAGTGCCTCACACATGCTAGGCAAGCACTCTACCACTGAGCTACAATCCCAGGCAACAAAATATTTTTTAACAGTCTGTATTTATTATTTATTTCTTTACCATCTGTTGACTCCTTGATTCTTTATATTCTGAGATTCCCTGCTTGTCTCTTTGCTGAAAATATCCTCTCATCAGAATTCAGTAATCATTTGGTTCTTGAAATTCTCCTCATTTAAGGCCAGTCTTCTGCATTTAGATTTCCTTAATCTTATTCTTTGCTGGTTCTTTTTCCTCCTTTCTCACAAAGGTGAAGAGAAAAATATTTTGACAGTTGCATAAATTTTCGTTTCTTTAGATCTACTACTACATTTGAAAAATAATTTTTTAATTCACTAATCAGGGATGCATACTATTTTCTTTGTTCATGGTATCTAGAAACATGTATACCATCATGTACTCTGATGTATAGAATGTATCCTGTTTAACACATTTACTTTTTCTGACATTTCTGTTTCTTTTTCACCAGATTGCTCCAGACCATGTAGTTCCAGCTCCTGAGGAATGCTATGTTTATAGTCCATTGGGTTCTGCATATAAACTTCAAAGCTGCACTGAAGGATATGGTAAAAACACCAGTTTAGTAACCATGTGAGTAAAAATTAATTTTTGGAGCATGACTTGAATGGTATACAAATACAAATTACTGATTATTTTAATTTTTTCCTTAATGAAAATATTTTAGGAGTTTAACTCCATATTTTTATGGCTATTATTCTGTGTTTTCAGTTTTATGATTTGGAATACCATGATGGGAACATCTATACTAAGTATTCCTTGGGGCATAAAACAGGTAATATAATTTTTTAGCACACTTTATGTCTGAAAATGTTTTCTCTATATATTGTTTTATAAGAAATTGACATAAATTTCATTAAATAGATGATATACATAGTTTTTGATTATCAGGTTTTATGATTTTTTAGGGTCACTTAGTATGATTTTATATGAATTTATTCTTACATGATGACATGTCATTCTACATTTTTATTTTGAACAGGCTGGATTTACCACTGGAATGTGCGTCATCATACTGATGGGCCTTTTAACACTTTATTGCTGCTACAGAGTGGTGAAATCACGAACCATGATATGTAAGAGTTTGATACAGTGAAAATAGATTATTTATTTGAGTATTAGTAAGTCACTTGCCATTGAGGCAGATCCAAATGTGAATATTCCACATCTTTCAATTTTGTACTTAAAGATTTACTTCCCTAATTCACAGCTTTCAACAATTCTTAAAGTTTTGTGAACACATTGCCTCTACTCATCTATAAAAATTCTGGATTAGGGAAGATCTATTTTTTTTTTTCTTAATGGAGTCTCACGATGTTGTTCAGGCTGTCTTCAACTCAGGCTGGTCTCAAATTTGTAAACTCAAGTGATCCTCCACCTCAGCCTTCCCAATAGCTGGGACTGTATCACACCTGCCTATTGGATGAGGGAAATATCTTTTTAGGTCATTTTAAAGTAAGTTAGGACCTAAATACACATGCGTTATTTCACTTGCTCTTAGTATATATAAACCAATTGACCAGACTGTACCTCTTGTTTTTTCCCTCTCTCTACTAAGCAGCTTTCTTTCTTCTCTTCTCTTCTGTTCTCTTCTCTTCTCTTCTCTTCTGTTCTCTTCTCTTCTCTTCTGTTCTCTTCTTTCTCTATCTCTCCCTCTCTCATCTTTTGGTACCAGGAATTGAATCTAGGGATACTTTATCACTGAGCTATATCCCCAGTACTAGTCCTGTTTATTTATTTATTTTGAGACACAGTGTCTTGCTAAGTCTCTGAGACTGGCCTCAAACTTGTGGACTTCCTGTATCAGCCTCCAGAGTCGCTGGGATTACAAGCATGCACTATCTTGCCTGGCTTTAAGCAGCTTCTTTATTTAGGTACCAAATATCCTCTTAGTCACTTGGGGAGTATTATTTTAAAGTTTTAAGAGAAGATTCATTCTAGTTCCTAAATGAAAAAGTTTAGCCTTAGTTTTGCTCTTTTTCAGTTTTGACTGAACTTGGAAAACCTCTTTAAACATATGTAGTGACTGCATATCTTAATCCAGGGTCTTTTTAAAAATGAGAACATAGCTTCTCTGAGATCTTTCTGTAGCTACTAAAAAATAGGAAACAGGGCTGGGAATATAGCTCATTTGGTAGAGTGCTTGCCTCACATGCACAAGGCCCTGGGTTTAATCCCTAGCCACCACCAAAACAAAAGAAAAAAAAAAAAAGAAAAAAAGAAACACCCATGGTACTTAAACTATTTCACAAAATTTAAAAGGATAAACTTGTATCAGTCCATTTCACAAAGTCAACACAACCTAATATAAAACCTGATAGTACCAAAAAGGAAAGAAAAATAGCTGGGAATGGTGGTGCATGCTTGTAATCCCAGCGACTTAGGAGGCTGAAGCAGGAGGATTGGGAGTTCAAAACCAGCCTCAGCAACTTAGTGAGGCCCTAAGAAACTCAGTGAGACCCTGTCTCTAAATTTAAAAAAAAAAAAAAAAAAGGTTGGGAA